ACACACACACACACACACACACACACACACACACACACACACACACACACAAACATGCACACACATGCAGTACAGTTGCACTCACAAACAGGCTTACAGCAGAGACAAAAAAGTAGAAATGCGTCACTCCTCGATTTAGGCGAGATTGGGGTCAGGCATCCGGTGAAAGTTTCACGCCGTACAACTAATAGTCCTTGCCTCACAACCAAGGAATCACCTTATTGTTTTCATGGTAAATTAAGCAAGAGGGATTGTCTGAATGGGTTTTTCACACCATTTCTCTTTCTTTACCGTCACGTCATACCCTCATCCACACATGAATGATGGAGTCAGAACATTCTAGTAATTCTAGTCAATATTTTGATTAAAATTTCAAAATTTACCTTTCTGCCTGTTTCCTCTCGGTTGGTATAATTATTGGCCTGTCTTGGTCACGTCCCCTCTCCTTATTCCTGGCCCGCATCTCATTGCATTAGTGCGCGCAATACGCCAAATCGTTTCTTTTCTTCTTCTTCTATTCCTTTTTCTTTGTCATTTTCTTCTTGTTTTTGTTTTTCTTCTTGTTCTTGTTCTTGTTCTTGTTCTTGTTCTTCTTCTTCTTCTCGTTTTCGTGTTCTTGTTCTCGTTTTCGTTCCGGTTCTTGTTTCGTTTCTTGTCCGTGTTCGCGTCCTCTTTCTCTTTCTTCCTCCACACCCATGGTTTTAAGGTAGGCACGTAAGATCGAGCAACTGGTCTTCTCAGATAAGGACGAACAATTTATTTCAGAGGTTCCGTACGGGCCTGTTGTGCACGTTAAAGGTAAGATACCCTATTATGGTATATGTAGTTGAAAATCGTAGAGGGGTAGGCTGCAAGCCCGCTACTAGGGCAAAAATTCGAAACTCAAAATCTCTCTACCACAAGAAATATCCCTGTACACCAGTATACGACACACCCTTACAGTTTCATTGATTCCAAATTTATTGATGACGTCTTTCCTTTGGGGCATAATATCAAGGGAGTCAAAAGAAATAAAGGCAGGGAAGTAGTAATTGGACAATCTACTTCCTATAATTTGAAACTGTATCATGCAGAATGCTTTAAGATCTGTCAAGACCCTTCAAGCCCCAGCCACCTTTGTGTTCTCCTTAACCCCAGTCCCAGCCAACACAGCAGTATTTCAGAAAAAGAGGCATGCATTCTAAAACGTGACGTAGTATCTTTGTAATGAGTTTTAGATGATAACACATATAACAATGTTTAAAAGGAAATGAACAAATATGAAAATTAGTTTAAGTGACAATCAAACATTTAACTTTAAAAAACAACAAAAACAAAACAAACAAACAAAAACAAAACAAGAAAAGAAAGGGAAAAAAAGGTCAGTTTTATGGCCAAACGTTCAGGCATGCTATGCAGAGAGCTGTTCGTTCATTCGGTGCACCTTTCTCCGACACACAAAGCCAAAGAGACGTAGATCTATAGACAAGTGACAAGTGCTGTACGATTCATCTTCTGTTCTCATTCAAATTATGGACATTATTTTCTCTCTCTCTCTCTCTTTCTCTCTCTCTCTCTCTCTCTCTCTCTCTCTCTCTC